TGGGCTAAGGAAAGGGCCGCGTGTGTTCCCTGTGGCTGAGCTGGACTTCTGGTTTCCACCGGCCTCGGGGGATGAGACTCAGAGGGTCAAATCTCAAGCATTCCAGCTGAGGGGTTTAATACATCATATATTAACGTCGTGCTATCACGCGAGAGATGATGTGGAAGGAAAACAATAATATTCCAAGGAAATCTCATGCCCACATACAACCCGGTTCGAGTCCGTTCTCCTTTTTGAAACCCATACCCTACACATTCGTTGGTGCAGACGGATCGTGTGACTGTCAGTCCCAAACGCACACACTCTAGAGATGAGGCAAAGCGCAATTCGTATCAGCTTCTTAAATACATTTTTTTTTCCTGCGGTACGCGGGCCTCTCCCTGCTGTGGCCTCTCCCACCGCGGAGCACAGGCTCCGGACGCGCAGGCTCAGCGGCCATGGCTCACGGGCCCAGTCGCTCCGCGGCATGTGGGATCTTCCCGGACCGGGGCACGAACCCGTGTCCCCTGCATCGGCAGGCGGACTCTCAACCACTGCGCCACCAGGAAAGCCCCTTAAATACATTTTTAACATGTCAAAGTCTTCAGCAAATGTTACCCTCTCGAAAGCAGTGAGAAATGCGCTGTGAATATCTCCAGCATGACCGATAAGGGGGTTATCGGATCCTTGTGCAATCTGCCCCTTGAAATCTTTTAGGGGATGCTGTCTAGCCACGCGTGTTTCTCTCTGCAGAAGGGGATCCACATTTTCCAGAGACGAGGATCAACTCGGGTTTTCTGTGCAATGTGGAGCCCCCTTGAGCATCAGACGAAGATGCCTGTGGGATTCACGCCCGGATGTTGCAGCTGATGGGGAAACAGATGGTGGGGCTCAAGTCGTCCTTTGGAAAATATCGGTACAATCGCTGCAAACACCACAAAGCGAAGGCGGAGAGATATCTGCAATCCGTGTCAGATACTGGGTCTTTCTAGCTCCATATGGCCTTTGCCTTTTCCCAAGAATAGTTTATAATGAAGTCAGCACGATGCCTTTTTTCTGGACCAACCACACCTAACATTTGCAAACTGATGACCACCGCCCAGTGGTCTGCAAAGGACAGCTGTTTGCAGTTAAAGGCATCAACGGCATTTCCCCGGGGGGCATCATTCTCCTCGGGCTCCCTCCCTGCAGCTCATTTTCTCAAGTTTAGGGACCCAGCCTTCATGTTTCAGGTCCCAGCCCACCCAGGTCGCCCCGTCGGACACGAAAAATTACATTAACGTGGGATCAATTTAGAGAAAAGAATACTCTTCCAAAAAAAAAAAGACCTGATTTTACTCTTTCTTTAGCAAATGTCTTACTTGAGGTAATCCACCCTCCCCTGCCCCCCTCGCGTTTGTTCACGTCAGCAACTTTTCACCCAGAAGGATCTCATCAAGAACGTGCTGCATCTTCTCGAGTGCAAGGATGAAGTGGAATATCTGGCTGGGTTTCTGTTTGCCTGCTGTTAACAAGAAAGTTAGTCTTTTCTAAGCCAAATTTAGAGACAAATAATTATGTTTTTCTCTTTTTAAGAAATTTTTTATTGCAGTACAGTTGATCTACAATGCTGTTCGTTTCTGCGGTACAGCAAAGTGAATCAGTTATACATATATATCCACTTTTTTTAAAGATTCTTTTCCCATATAGGCCATTACAGAGTATTGAGTAGAGTTCCCTGTGCTGTACAGTAGGTCCTTATTAGTTATCTATTCTATATATAGTAGTGTGTATGTGTCAGTCCCAATCTCCCCGTTTATCCCTCCCCCGCCCTTACCCACAGTAACCATAAGTTTGTTTTCTACGTCTGTGACTCTATTTCTGTTTTGTAGATGAGTTCAAGAGGCGAACAATGATTAAGCCTTGCCTTATCTTGGGCACAGTGTGGAATAAACTTAAAAATAGCAGAATGCTATTATGCTAACACATAAATATGGAATCTAAAAAAAAAAAGGTTCTCAAGAACCTAGGGGCAGGACAGGAATAAAGACGCAGACGTAGAGAATGGACTTGAGGACACGGGGAGGGTGAAGGGTAAGCTGGGACGAAGTGAGAGAGTGGCATGGACATATATACACTACCAAACGTAAAATAGATAGCTAGTGGGAAGCAGCTGCATAGCACAGGGAGATCAGCTCGGTGCTTTGTGACCACCTAGAGGGGTGGGATAGGGAGGGTGGGAGGGAGGGAGACGCAAGAGGGAGGGGATATGGGAACATTATGTATACGTATAGCCGATTCACTTTGTTATACAGCAGAAACACACCATTGTAAAGCAATTATACTCCAATAAAGATGTTTAAAAAAAAATGCTTTTAAGACCTCATCCTGTAGCTGAAACTCCAACTATGGTAAGGTGTATCTGTCTGTAGCATGCGTCTACCGTGTTTTACGAGCTTCACGGGGTGATGACCACCTAGGACGCCTGGAATGCCCTAAACCACAGGAAATACCCGCGATGCATCACCTTACACACTTCTGTAAGAATTCCTCTGGGATTTATACCTACCACGGATAGGGCTGGGTCATGAGATGTCCACGTACATAGTGAGCATCTAACATCTGGCCAGACGCTCTTCACAAGGGCAGCTACAGAAACTCAGTATCCTGCTGGCCCCCAGTGGTGGTCGTCTCACACAGGCGAGCGTTTCATACTATTCTGTACTGTGGCATCACCCCCCCACACACACACACACACGATGAAACATACAATATATGCACGGTTGCGAACATTGTAATTAAACCTTTCATTCGTTTTTTCAGTCATTTTGAAACTATACCATCTCTTCCACCCATATATGAACCTACGCTGCGCCACCCCTCTTACACAACGTATTTCCAAAAAGGGTAGAGACGTAATATTATTATTACCTTCCTCCCGCAATAGAGGTTTTCTGTGGCATATATGTTGGGTACCGATGGTCACGATGGCATCGTCTCAGACCAGCAAAGGAACGAAAAGGAAAAGGTGGGGTTCACTAAACTAGGGCGGGGCAACCTCCCCACCTGCTCCTCTGTGGGACTCATGGCTTCTGTCCACCTTTCTCTGTCTTTCCTCCTTGGCTTCCTAAAAACTTGCTTCTTTTCTGGGCTCACGGCTCCCCCTGCAAATAAAGTACCTCATCGGATCCAGTTCTGGAAAGCTCGCCATAATATAAATCCTCGAAAACCCGGTGTCCTCTGGTCCTGAAATAGCAAGAATCTAAGGTAACCAAAAGGAGGACGGATCCCATTGCCACTGGTTCAAGCTTCCTTTCCATCAATTAAAACCACGTGTGTGTGTTCCAGCCATGAGCTCCAGATGTCCCTGCGGGAGGGGATCTCTCTAAGAGCCACGCAATCCGCTATGGATACCACGTCCCCGACGTGCTATTTCAATGCATCCGTATCTACAGAAAACCGCCACAGGTGATGGTCAGCTGGAAGGACTTTGTATGAACACGGAGCCATGCCCTGGACGCAAGGTTCCAATGTCCCGAACCCATAAAGGCAAGTTCTCTCAGTGGTGACCCAAATACCCCCTTAGCCCATTCACCTGACACTTCGTCTGTCCATCCGATGAATTTTGGAAGTCTGTGAACCACCATCATCCCGCCAACTGGACCCTGAATACGTCACACCAATATTCATCTCCTTTCCACCTTTTTTTAAGAGCAGGAAAGCACGCGACAGTGGGAAGACACGTACTATGGCTTGCCTTCTCTCTTTTCTAGAATCTCGAGGAAAATCTGGTTGTCCCCGAAGTCCCGTGGATACATACATTTTAATCCGTTGTAACGATTTTGTCTGCAAAGCACACTTCACCCGGGTGTCCTACGTGAATCAGGAGCCAGTGCCTAGTGCGTATCCACTGTGTCGGTAGCCACTGCACTAGCTTCTGGTTTCAAGGAAAAACGTTAAAGCACTTGGATTACACGTGGACTTTTGCTTTCTAGGTCATTGTTTCATGAAAATAAAATGTCACAGAAGACAGAAAGCCGCTGTATGCATTCTTTCAAAATGTTTTCCTCTGCCCAGAGAAACAAGCTCCACCTGTATAAATATTAGGCGGCCAGGAAGTAACTGTTTACTTATTATTATAAAGCCTTAAAGGCAGCAGGAAGAAGAATGTCGTGTTTATTTTTCCACACGAAATAACATTTAAAGCCACTGCAATGGCAAGGGGAGATGGGAGCATCTAAGTTGATAGGAATAGTTATAAAACTGTTACAATCGCCCAGATGTATCATCTGGGAGTTATTTTGCATAATGTTGATTTCACTTAGGGTGTCTCATGGGTAGACGGTCAGCTCAGACACAAACCGAAGCCCAATATATTTTTTCTCTCCAAGGTTCACAGCGTTGCCAACCGGGATGAATGCCAACCCGAAGAAGAGGATGACGTTGTTAGCAGAGAACCACGACGGCATCCTGGGCGGACTGACGGACGGTGTCATTCTTCAAGCTGTTTTAGACGATCGTTTCTTTTTCTGCCAAGCCTCTCCCTTTCGTGAAGGAGAGCCTTGTTCTCTTATTTGTCAAGGTTTGTTTTCTTTAAGTCGACCCTATTTAGACTTCTTTCTGAGTGAAAGCATCTGGGGATCGCTAGATGATTATCCCTCTGTCGCAAACAATTTGCAACAGTGCCCTTTATGGACGGCTGCTGCATTAACTATCTGTTACTTGCTAGCAGCGATAATTTGCTCGGGGCGTGGATGGGGGGGGCGGGTCACCCGCAGCTTTGAACGTTCACGCCAATCACCTGTAACTAAACCAATGACCATCTGAGCGTGGAGTACAACCTGCAGCCGTTTAAAGTCCCTGAGACAGGAGACGATGGGCAACAATAAATCTTTCGAGGCCGTCCACGGGCTGTCCCGATGCGTACGGAAATCCTGCCCTGCATTCCTGATACCTTCCTTCCCAAGATGTCCACGGCTCCGCCCCCCGCCCCCCAATCCACCAGCAACCTCTTCGCAAGCTTGTCTACGCGGGTCCCAGACAACAGCAGGCTCAGGACATCGAGTTGTTCTACCGCGGAAAGAAAAACGGGTGCTGGACTCAGACCCAAGGTTAACAGCCGACCGGGTCCCATCCTCACGCTTCGGGGGCGTCACCTTCATTCTCTGCGACGGGATAAAGGTTTGTGCCCTTTCCAGAGCGGGCGCTGGTTACCGGGGATGCTGCAAACAGGCGAAAAGAACCCTGCTGGGAGTGTGGGCACTGCTGAGGCTGTGGACTGCAGCCAGCTTGGCGACCTAAGCTAGACATAAACGCCAGTCGGGTAACAGTCCCTACCCGAGAGGTCCCTGGTTGGGGCAGGGGGCTGTGACGCGAGAATACGGAATTTAGAAAATGCCTTGCCCGCCCCCCGCCCCCCCTGAGCTCGGAGGCCGTGGCTACCCACTCACAGCGGAGGAGTATTGGAGGCATAAAAGTGGCCCGAAGCCAGCCTGACGTGGGACAAGAGAAAACAGAGCTACTTCATGGGTTGGTTCGGACTTCTCTTCTTGGGTCTGGACACGTTAAATGACTCTGTTTCCGTCTGTGGCAGATCAATGAAATGGAAGCGATACACCTAATAAGGTTCTCACCCCAGAATGGTGAAAATTGGTTCTGGCATTCGAAGGGCGAGCTTTCTAGAACTGGATCCGAGGAGGAAGCAGCACGTTTTCGAATAAAACAGGAGAAATGAGGCTTCGGTTCCTGCTTTACATTCTCGGATAACAGCACGGGCAAGGCGGTGGGTACGTGCGTGCCCTGCGTGGCATTAGTGACCATACAATCGCTAATGGAAGAAATAGGACTCTTGTCTTTTACGGATCCCCAAAGGCACCGGAAATACCAACATTCCGCCGCCATTATAAATAATTATAGGATGTACTGGTGATGCTGAAATTCCTTATTTACAAGTCGTCCTAGCAGCCTGGGAGTGTCCGTTCCTGGTCATGGCTAATACTTTAAAAATTAACTACAGAGACCTCTTCGGACCAGCCCTGTCTGTGAACTACACATACAGTACGGTGTTTTGTTGTTTTAATAATTATGGTTCTGGTCTCTGTGATTGATGTTTGGTCTTTATTCTCTGGTATCCATTGTTTTTCAATGAATAGGGCAGAAGAGAATTTCAGTTAGGAAGGTCTTTTACCTAATGAGAGATGAGAAATGCAATCGTGGAAGGGTTTGCCTATTCCTTTCGCTGGTAAATACTCCTTTGAAGTTGTGTTCATTGTCTACTAACTGTTAAATTGCTCAGCTGGGTTCGGCTTAAAAATTAAGGCTTTACTATCTACTTCCCTAACGAGAGACACTGTGGCCCAATTAAATACTGAGAGTCTTACATTTCAGCCCATTTCTCCAGAAACAGTAGCTCACAGTGTGATCTCACGTTTTTTGGTTTTTGACACCTGAACAGTGTGTTCCCCTCATTTGCAGGAAGGATGGAATTTAGGATCCGCTCCAGCCCAAACCCATGTCAATTTTTAACTCAAATCTCTGTTGGCTGGCCCAACCACTGTGAAAAGAACACATCTTTGAAACACATGAGTGCATACTTAGGATGGAATCAAAATGTGTTTTAGAAACACACATTGCCTTCAAGTCCCAGAAGTTTCTGAAATAAATTAAAACATGAGTTTGTCAGATGCCACAGACACCACATTATAACCCCAAAATAGATCCTACAACGATCTGGCGCGAGGCATTTATGAAATAATGAACAGACCTCAGATCTGTTAGCCCTATAAAAAAAAGAAGTCGTAAAAACCGATAATAATAATAATAATAATAATAATAAGCACTCTCCCTTTTCATGAGCCAAAATCAGAATGGAATCACCCCTGATCATCTGTAATGAGCTCGTTATAGAGCAAAATGTTACAGACTTTATACTGTTGCTCGGGATCTGTAATTATTTGGACTGAGATGTTTAATAACAGTCATTTTCCAATGATTCTGATTTAAGAGGAGTCCTATGCCTATGTTTAAGGATTGTCATTTATCCTTTTCCTCAATAATTCCCCTGCGCCTGCATGATTATAATGCTTAACACGTGTGCCTCTCGCCCAGTGACGAAGACAGGGCCGTAAAAAAAAGTAGGTATTCCATCTAACTCTGCTGACTTCAAACAAACCAACCATCAAAGGGAACGCACAGGATATTTTTAGAACGCACAAGGGGTTCACAGCACCAGGCGGGGGCCACACAGCTAAAGAGCAGGTGTGATATCTTCCTGTAAAAAGTCTGCAAGATCCCTCCACCCAACTGCAGACCGCCTGGCGTGATGGTGATAAGGGAGGGGCGAAAGGCAGGGGAGGTGTTTCAAGGCGAAGAGAGGCTTCATCGAAAGGTGCTACCAAGCAAGCTACCTACCCAGATGGCCGCGCATGGGCAGAGCTGCACGTTGGAATCCGACACGCCAAGACAAAGGGAGCCACCAGATAAAAACAGATGTGAAACCTCGGGCACTTGGAACGCTACGGTCGTTTCAATTCTGCCAGTCATATGTAATTCGGGGCTTGGTTTCAAAACTCAAACCATGGAGGAATAAAAGGGAATAAATCCAAAGTTGTTCTTTACAATCTCCCTCCATTTCCCTCAGCTGTTATCTGTTTGATGTGTATCTTTCTAGACCTTTTCTATGGATCTGGGTCCATAAATATAGGAACATGCTGAAAAAGGTGTACTTTCCCGAGGTGCATCATTTCACCCCCCAAACGAAACACAACGGATTCGCCTGAGCGAATTCTGAATTCACTTTTCCACATACCAATATACCTTAGAAATCTTCCCTTGACCCAAAATACAGGCCTTCCACAGCTTTTTTTTTTTTTTTTTTTTTAAACTCCTGAAGCTCATTCTGTACATTGGCTGTACTCTGGTTTATTTTCAAATCTCGCCCTAATTTTATGATTCTGTCTCAGGCCACTTTTTTCTTGCTTTGGTTGTTAGTTTATTTCTTAGTACTTTAATACAAAACACTCAAAGAACCCAAACTATCTGGTAATTCCAGCACACAGAAATGTGTGTTGCCATTCTCTAACATAAGTTATGTACGCCCATGGCAAGAAAACTCAAACCACATGGAATTCCCACTTTATCGTATGTTTTGCATATATAAATTATTAGGAAAAGATAACCGATGGAAGGGGCAGATGGTATAAGTTATCTCACGCATTTCAAAGCAACATGAAGAAAGTAACATATAACAGATGGTCAACTTGGTTCATTTAAAAATGCACATCACTGACTTGGAGGGCACTGTGCTTGGGGAGATAAGTCAGATAAAGGGAAATTCTGTATGACACCCCTTACACGTGGAATCTAAAAAAATACAAGAAACTAGTGAATATAACAAAAAAGAAACAGACTCGCAGATATAGAGAACAAACTAGTGGTTCCCAGCAGGGAGAGGGAAGTGGGGAGGGGCAAGATAGAAGGAGGGGATTAAGAGGTACAAACTAGTAGGTATAAAATAAATGAGCCACAAGTATGTATGGTACAGCACAGCGGATACAGCCAAGATTTTGTAGTAACTGTAAATGGGTGTAACCATTAAAAATGGTATAAGAAATAAAAATTGAAAAAAGAAAACCAAAGAGTTCACCCAACAAAAAACATTTTTAGGGCTTCCCTGGTGGCACAGTGGTTGAGAGTCCGCCTGCCGATGCAGGGGACGCGGGTTCGTGCCCCGGTCCGGGAAGATCCCACATGCCGCGGAGCGGCTGGGCCCGTGAGCCATGGCCGCTGAGCCTGCGCGTCCGGAGCCTGTGCTCCGCAACGGGAGAGGCCACAACAGTGAGAGGCCCGCGTACTGCAAAAAACAAAACAAAACAAAACAAACAAACAAACAAACAAAAATTTTTAGATGCATATCAAGGTGAAATAGATTTTACCTATGTAGCTAGCAAAAAACCCCTTAAAAGTAACTTTAAAGTACGCGGCAGTAAAGATCTGAAGAAAAGTATTTTTTTTAAATGATTGAATGAGTAGAAACAGGAAGAATATTTTCTGAAGGCCAATTTGCCAAGCTGTATCAGAATTTAACATGTAGGTAAGCAGGAAGTTTGGAGGAGGAGAGATGAAGAGTGAGGCGTTTTTCTATTTCCCATTCGTGTGTTCATGGTTCAAATTAAAATCCTAGAGGTAGAAAGAGAAAGAAAGGGTGGGAAAGCCACATTTCTGCCCCAGTCCTGGGGCTCCTGCACTGGGGGGGAAGGTGCAGACTGGCTCTGCCGACCAGCAGGTGGGACATCTCCTCCATGGGGGGAACAGGCAGACCCTATGTGGGGCCTCAGGAGCTCCTAGACCCACCAGGAGGACAAGCAGAGGAAGACAAGTGTGGATGGAGGTTCCTCTTCCCTCCAGAGACTCTAAGCCAATCCAGGACGCCTCCTTCTTGGAGCATTTGTGCCGGAGACAGTAAGAGCTGGCTTCTTCCAGCTCTGGGAAGTCCACCTTCCCCCCCAGTTGCCACCATCTGGACAGTAAGAGCTGGCTTCTTCCAGCTCTGAGAAGGGGACTTAAATCCTGAAGAACTTTGAGCCAGCTCTTCCACTGTCGGCAGCTTGAAATCAGTCACGGCGGGATTAAGTACTGACACCACGGACATCGGCAGAAGCTACGCGTCAGGACCTTATTTCCCCCGGGAGAACTGGTTTACAAAGCACACCACCACCTAAGACCTTCTAAGCCTCTGCAGCACTGACACGGAGCAAGACCCTACGTGGCCTTCTCAGGAAAGACACTCCCCCACCCAATGTCCTCCACCTGCCTCTTTTCTGTAGAAAAACTTTAGCCAGAGAATAACTTTAATCAGAGAAGTGAGAAAATGCAGAAGCAAAGGAAAGCAGTCAAACAAAACCAAATAATAACAGGTGAGCCATTACACAAAGTCAAGGACGCTTAGTCCCTCCTCAGGGACTATCGATCGTATTCTGAGCCCGTCCTGTGAGCTGCTTTGCAGATACTGAAGACCCCGCCAGGTGGAAGAAGTGCACTGCACCGTGACCAGGCTGTAGCCATGACATAAGCTGCCACCATTCTGAGAACTGGCCTCAAGGAAATGGGAACCAACTGACCTCGGAAGTGAAGACCAACCGTACGGAAAACAATCAAGAGGATACAGATCAGACCATCCCAGGACCAATTTCAAGATGACGATCACAGCTGACTGTGCTGTTTCTGCATGTGGCCCCGTCCCTCCGCCTTGACACTCCCCTCCTTTTTTTTTTTTTTTTTTTTTTTTTTTGCGGTACGCAGGCCTCTCACTGCTATGGCCTCTCCCGTTGCGGAGCACAGCCTCTGGACGCGCAGGCTCAGCGGCCACGGCTCACGGGCCCAGCCGCTCCGCGGCATGTGGGATCTTCCCGGACCGGGGCACGAACCCGCGTCCCCTGCATCGGCAGGCGGACTCTCAACCACTGCGCCACCAGGGAAGCCTGAAACTCCCCTTTGAAAGCTCCTGTCCACTGATCAGCAGGGGAGAGGTGGCTTTTAGACATGAGTCCACCTTCTCTCCCCAGTTGCCACCATCCGGAATAAAGCACACTTTCCTCTCCACCAATGCCTGCCTCTCGAGGATTGGCTTTAGAGTGGCGAGCAGCGAGACCCGAGTTCGGTAACACGCCGACAGCTGAGTTCTGTGTTCTTGGTCTCAAGGGGTTAGAGCAGCAGGCTATATATGGGATTCATTACGCCTGGCAAAGCCAGTAAACGGTTTTCTAAGTGTGATCAGGATACCGACGATGGTGGGGATTGACGGGAAAACAGATGTGGAGTGAAAATCCAAAAAGGTATATTCTGAGCTACTACATGGCGCTTAGAGCAAACGAAAAGACCCAGGAGTCTAGGTGCAAATTTAGGAGACAACTGCCTTCCACCGGCAGCTTTCGGTTAAACAGAAAGCAGAATAAATTTGAGAAGGGGAATATTCTCAGTGCAGAAGCAGAATAGGCTGCAACCCCCTAATGTTCAGAACAACTGGCCAGAAGAACAATCACAGGCTTCAAAACCCGTTAGGGCTTCCCTGGTGGCGCAGCGGTTGAGAGTCCGCCTGCCGAGGCAGGGGACACGGGTTCGTGCCCTGGTCCGAGAGGATCCCACGTGCTGCGGAGCGGCTGGGCCCGTGAGCCGTGGCCGCTGAGCCTGCGCGTCCGGAGCCTGTGCTCCGCAACGGGAGAGGCCACAGCAGTGAGAGGCCCGCGTACCGCAAAAAAACCCCAAC